AAATTTGCAGAGTTTAAGCATATTTTTACAAAACGAACTGATCTAAGATGCAGATTTTTGTGTTTGAACGATACTGAAATGCTTCTACCGCACTCGCACCGTACGTCTCAGATCAGGTGAACGTTTGTGTGCGTGCGCGTCGGCTTCTCGTGTGACATCAGAACATCAGATATGTTCATGACCCAAAACCAGAGCAGAGCAGCAGATACCAGAGCAAAGGGAAGCCAAGCCGCACACACACTTTCCACCCGCCATCCTCAAAATAAATGCACTTTAGCACACACATGCAAACCTCAGTCCATGACCTCATCGATGCAAATCCACTTCTGCTCACGATACGCCGCGCACGCACACACACACACATGCACAAACACATGCACACACACATGCACACACAGTGTTTTGCTGCTGTTTGTTGGGGTTTCCTGGTCCTGTTTCTGGTCGTCAAAGCCACAACACATGTTACAGCGATATTTAAAAGCAGGCAGGAGCTGAAGGCAGATCCTGACTGAGCGACGCTGGCACTCTGCTGCTGCTGAGGCGGAGAGCGTTCTGGCTTTCTGCTGCCGCCGTGACTCATTCGCTGATGTCTCTGTGGAAAACAGGACTTTCTGAATCTGCAGGGTTTCATAAAAAAAAAAAAAACTGGGACTGAATCTGATTTCTCTTCCATAGTTTAACTTGCTCTTATTATTTATCTCAATCCTGTCCCCGTAGGATAAATAAAGGCTTATCTTATCTTAAAGTGTCCCTCCTACTGTAAGAAAACAAATTAAATACATTTTAGCATGCTGTTTTTTTCTCTAAATTTAGGAACTACAGATTACAGGAAATATAATGCTCGCCTGGATTTGTTTACATTTAGCCAAACTGGCTCCTGTTAGCAGTTAGCATGCATGTACAGACAGCCGTCACTGCATTACTGTTACTGAATAAAACTTAAAAACATGATAATCCTCAGGCTAGTTATAATAATAATAACTTTATTTATAAAGAAGACATGAAACACGACCACAGGAGATAAAATACATGAAACTTAGAAATCACAGGGAGGTAAAACAGAGCAACAGAAACTAGAATAAACAGCAACTTTATGTAACTAAAATAAAAACCTTAATGTGAAAGAAGCGGCTCAGATAATCTGATGAAAGTGCTTTTTGAAAAGAAGACACCGACTCTGAGAGCCTTATTTACTCGTTCCAGAGCCTCAGGGCCCCGACAGCAAAGATCTGTCCCCCTTTAGTCCTAATCCTGGACACAAGAGGAGACAGACGGCCCTAAACTACACTGAGGTTCATAAGGGGTTAAACGGTCTGGAGCCAGGCCACGGAGAGCCTTTCAAGTATTCAATACAATCTTAAAATTAGGGAATGAATGAAAATTCTTGGCTGAATATAATGAACACGGTTTTTTCCATTTATTCCATCTATTTTGCCTTTTTCCCCCCTTTGTATAAATGAAATAGTCAAAATGTGCTTTTTCCTCAGGATGTGGAGAGACTATGGTGGGGGGGTCCGGGGCCCGGTAAAGTAAATTACATGAGTCCATTTCCTTTTAATGTACACGTTAAATGTTTTATACTTTCTGTGAATATAATCCAGTTAATCTGATTTCCATCCTGTACAGACGCCTTATTTTGAAAACCGGACGTTGTCACATGTGTTTCCTCCTCGCGCTAAATTCATCCAGTCCGACCCGGTTTGATAAATAATGTTGTAACATGAAGACTTCACAGCCTCTCTTCATACTAAAGAGACAAACTGACAGGATAAAGTCTCTAACCTGCCTGGCAGCTCGCTCTGGGCCGCTTCACTTACCGTAAAGGCTGGAATACGTGTGCACTCCAAATATAGGTGCGGCTAGCTTAATCTACCTTCTGCGGTTCTTTTCTAAGAAGTCAGCCACAGATGGAGCGGATGTGCTGGAGACAGTTCAGCAGAACAGCGACACTTTAAAAGGCCTCCACATAATAATTCGTTAAAATGTATTAGGTCTTTTGACATATCAGGCCGAACATCCTTATTTAAAATCAGTCCTAAAACAAACAGGGAACCAAAGCAAAGAGGCTGAACCAGGTGTGATCGCACCTCCTCGTTCTAGTTCTGCAGCTGTGAGGAGCAACGTTTTTCTGCCAGCTGTAACTGGATTAATGCTTTATCAGAACATTTTCAGATAATGATCAGAAAGATGTCGACAGAAGATTTATGTGAACTGTTATGCCCCAACACACGCTGAGGCAAATTCCTCGTATGTGAAGACGTACCTGGCAATAAATCTGATTGTGATTATTTTTGGTATTTTTAGTTTCTGTAATGGTCGGATTGAATTTCTTGGTCCCTTCGTTTTGAATACAGCAGTCCACTTTTCATCTGGAGGCTGGATAGTTCTCCTCCTTCTGACGGATGAGTCAGCAGAACAGTTCACCTTCAGTAACCACGCTGGAAAGCACATTCTCGGTTCTCATGGGACCTTTAAAGGTTCCTCAAATATGACTCACCTGCTGCAGGTGTGGAGCTCCGTTAGATCTTAATGCTCTCTGTAATTTAAATCTGATGAACGATCTGTGGAATCTGCCTCTCACGTTGTTTCCACTTACCTTTTAGCAGCTTTAAAGTGTAGCAGGGCAGGGGAGGGAGACCTCCTGACCTCTCGCCTCGTGCATCACAGCTTTAATGCAGCCTCGGCGTGAGGAAATGAATTCCTGCTGCGTCTCCTCCTCGCTGGCTGGAGTCGCTCCAGCCGCCTCGTCCTTGACCCTGAACGCTCGTCTCCCGAAGCTGGAAGAGCTCAGCGGCGGTTTTTGCAATCACATTTTTATACCGTTATGAATCTGGACGTGACCCGGAGCCGAGAGCCTGGGTGGAGCTTTACAACCTGCTGCACGACACCGACCTTCTGTTTGTGAACAACCACACAGTCCTCATATGAACCTTATTTTGCAATCTCTCAAAGTCGGTCTCTGTTGATGGGGAAATCACCTGGGGTGGGGATGGAAGAATGGATAAAACACGTGCCTTTAGTGTGAGCGATTCCCACTGTGACACATCCACCAATAGGTGCCTGAGCAGGACGCTTACATTTACTCATCTGGCTTTTATCCAAAGCGACTTACACTTTAGGAACAACATACAAGCATCAACAGAGCATCAAATACAGCACGAGGTCTATAATGACAATACGTACTAGTAAGAACAGCTTAACCCCTCGTTGGTCCAGAGGCGTGTGACCTCTGACAGAACTGCAGAGAGTAAGTCGCTGCGGATAAAAGCTGCTAAATGACAAACAGGCAGGTGGCGTTATCTCTGACTTTGGGGGCTTAGCTTGGGGACAGGAGGGTTGACGGTTCGAGTCCAGCAAAGACCATTTGAGGAAGGTGCCTCTGAGCGAGGCCCTGAACCCCTGACTGCTCCCTGGGAGGTAATATTAGGTTTTTCCCCTCTCCTTAATTGTGTTTAAATAAATAAAGTTCCCATCTCCCACAGAAAACGGTGCTCCTGAACTGAACGCAGCCTTTACTTATCTGCATTACTGTGTGACACGCGTCATAAGGTGCCTTTCAGCGTCCGTATGAAACGCCACAGTTTGCTAGATCGCAGCAACACAAAGGAGGCTAACCTACCTGCTAGCTGTAGGGTTAGCCGGTCGACATGCATAAAGTCGCTGACTGAGGTTTAGGCGCTAACATTTCTGATGGTTATGGTGAAGGTAGGGGGCTTCGGGCTGTCAACGCTTTTAGCATGAACGTAAATAGTTAGCACAAAGCGTTGGTGTTGGTCGCCCTGAGATGAGAACGGTCTGAATGCTCGCCTAGCGCCCTCAGAAACGCTGGTGGAGAAACACACTGAGCTGCACGTGTGCAGCTCCCAACAAAGATTGAATAGAAGAGAGATGCTTCACTCGGTCGCTAAAACGGAGCATCACACAAAAGAGGAGCTGCAGCAAATATGGTGTTTTTGGGAAATTAAACCTCGTAACCTGTTAAATAGTGAGAATAACACGACCTCTTTAATTAAAGATGGTAAAATGAGGTGTTTTGGTTTATAAGTCAGAATTATATGTGAAGAACGAGGAGATTTAAAGGACCACAGACGCATTTCATTTGTGTACATCCTTTAAACTTTAATGGTGAAGCAGAAAACAAAAACAATACCGTAAAATAAATTAGATTAGAAAAATGCCACAAGCACATTTGATTTGTACAACAAAGCAATGCAACATACTGGAATCTTAATTTCCATACATATATACAGAATAAAAAATAGACTTTTTATTCTTTGTCCACTTCGTTCAGTGTCAGTGTTTTTTTGTCTCGATAAAAAGAAAAAAATCTGAACAAATACAACCACTTTTTTTATTCTCTTATTTTTTTCCAACTTTTTGCGTCTTTTTTTTTTTTCTGCACTGACATTTCGTAATGCGTCCATGTACACACGGGATGGACTATGAGTTTGTCCTAAAGAGTCCAGAAGAACAACAAAAAGAGGAAATAAAAACAAAAACACGTGGACTTCATCAAAAAAGGGGACCGATACTCCAAAACTTTTGGTGAACAAGTCGACAATACTGATATAAACACATACAACACAGAAACACTCCGTAGTGACCACATCTGGACTGGACAACGTTTGTTTTCTCCCAAAAACCGAACAAGGCGACGGTGGGTTGTCTCTTTCAGTTTATGATGTAATAAAAAGTAAAGAGTAAAGCATTGTGGGAAGCGGAGTTCTTGCTATGCAGGGAGAGAGGAAGTGGACGATAATGTCAGAATTGAAAAAACATCACAACTCAAAGAAAAACTGAAGAGTTTTGTTCCAAATGACCCACAAAACTAAATTCATCTGAAACAAAAACTATAAATTAAACTCCTCTTTACGCAAGCAACAAAAGGACGGCACATTGTTACAGACTTCAGAGATACTGAACTGTGAACTAGATTGATTTTTTTCTCTTTTTGTTCCCCACAAAAATAGACATAAATCAGGGTTTAAATTTAGGTTTTGTTTTTTTTCTGCATCATTAAATCCAACAGTTGTCTCTCACATAAACAAGTGCACAAACTGGACTCTTTGGTGTTCTAAAGCAAAACTAAAACTGGGCCCTGGAGGTTTTCTCCAGAGCAAAAACAAAATGTTTCTTCTCAAACTAAACACACTGACCTAACGGGATCATCTGAAAAACCTTGTATTTCACTGTGAACTGTGGGAAAATTAACGAATACGTTGTGATAAATTGCTGCTTATCACTACAACCCAAAACATTTGAATCACATATTTTATTATGAATTTCACCAATAACTCAGGTTTAAAATGCCACAGCGTAGAGAGGGTTGGTGCACGGAGGCTCTGTGCAGGTTCACATTGTTATTCATGTCAAAAGACAACTTATATTGATCCAATAAGACCACAGACCCCATAATAACCCCTAACATGTGAAATAAGAGTTATCTTGAGTTGCAACCATATTTGGTTTAAGGTGGTTTTAAGTTCACGTCTCCCTGAAGAGATTCATTTTCTTTAAACAGGCAAACAGTCAATATGTTTTGTGGTCTCCCAAAATCCTCCATCTCCACTGATTACCCACTAAATATGTTTTAAAGGCGTCTGACACCAGCTAACGAGGGATTAGCCTAATGAACAATTGTTTTCAGAGGTCACATTCATAACGGATTAAAAACCTATCCACAAAAAATAAAAAAGATGAACCGACAGAGCCTCTGTGAACGAATCCCTTAAAACTTTAATCTTGATTTAACAAAACATAAAGGATGTTCAAGGGAAAAATTTATGCATTTTGTGTTTTAAAACAACAACAACTTCCTTGGCTAATGCTAATTAGCTTCAGTCAGCTAGTTTAAGTGCTGTAAACATCCACCAGAGACAAAGATACAGACATGGTTTTAAGGGGTTTGTTCTAGTGCTTTTAGTGTTTTTGTTCTTTTTACTGTGGTATTTGGAGATTAGAGCCAAATATTTAAGCTAACAGGAAGGACATAAGATGGACCCGAGATATGAGAGATCTAAAAGCCCATTTAGAATTTTAATTATGAGCCGAATCTGCATTTTGATTATTCCTCTAAGTGCTTTTTATTCTCCACTTTAACACAAGTCCTCAAAGCATCTGACTGGACGGACGGACAGAAGGTTCGTGGTGCATCTTGTGGACAATTGCTGCTGCCTGTAAGTTCATTGGCTCTCAGTCATCACGTCAACACTCGTATCAATGCCATGCTCTACAAGCTATTTTTATTCATGTGTTTATACCTTTTCGCTTGGTACTGACTGAAAATGTTTCAACTGTGCTAACTGACCGGCTAGCATAGCATATCACCAACATGTTAGCTGTAGATTTATCCAATGAGAAGCCTCCAAAGTCTCCTAACCTGCAGTTCCTCTAACGGCCACTAGCTGCCAGAAATCTGCAGCTGTATTGGAGCAAATGGGGAAACTTCTCTCTAGAAATCCTACATGTTGTTTAGTTCTCAATATCTTCTAATGTGAGTTTTGGTGGAGATTTTGCAAATGTTTTTATTAAAATGAATCGAAGAGATCGAGTACTCTGTATTTTTATTGGAAACATCAAATAAATATGCAGCATTTCTGCCAGTCAGATTGTTATTTCTGGCAGTTTGGAGAAGGCTTTGACAAAACGTTTAGACCTCCATGTTGGAAATAAAATGCACAATTGTGATTAAACAGTTAAACACATTTTAGCAAAACATGAAAAATACAAATAGTGTGTCTCAGTAATCCTGGCTACAGCCCTAATACTTAGCTTGTGTGTTAGCTTGACTGCAGCTACTTGTTTTTAACCTTTACCCAGTTTAGGATTAGAGAGAGCGGTAAACATGAAATTCAGTCTTTGAATCTTTCAGAAACCAACAGACATTTTGTGTTTTCCAAGACTCTGCACTCAACGTATGACGATGTTTGACCTACACCTGGCCTACTGTGGGGATCCAACCTTTCAGATCTCTACCCCGGACAGGAAGCTCCCGTCTCTCTGAGGGTCTCTTCAGTCTGGCTAATCTGAGCACGAGTGTCGCTATAGTGCAAAACATGAAAACGTTTGTAACGTTTCTTTAAAAAAGAAAAGAAATAACAGACATAATAACACAAATGCAGCCACATAAAAATATTATCAACAATAACAATAATATTATTAATATACTTACTGACAATAATAATTATAACATCGACATGGTAACGATGGTAACATATAAAGAAGTGTTTGGTTCCAGCAGCCGGCCAACTTGTTTCCTTCAAGTATCTCTCAACACACACACACACACACACACACACACACAAACGTACATATATGCACACTTGAATGGACAAACACACACACACACATCACAAATGTGTACTTCCAAAAATAATACAAAAGAGTCTTCTTCTTTCTTCCTTGTACTTTTTGAAAAAAGTAAACAGTTGGGAAACAAACAACAAAACCCAGGACAAAGTAAAAAGATCGTAATACGTGAAACAAGTTGCATAGTTTTGAGATCTAGTAGTTTTTCAGGCACCTGGTCTCTCCAAGATCTGACAGGTGGAGTGGTGCTTCTACATCTCAGCCACATAAATAAGCCTCGCTCCCTCCTTTTGTAACAAAAATATATTAGATATTCTTTTTTTTTTCTATCTTTTCTTTCTTTCTTTTTTTTCTGAAAGTGCCGTCGAGACTCTTTCTGAGTTCTGCTGGATGAGGACGGAGAAGAGTTTTTATTCCCAGAGAGCGCCCCGAGTGACGGAGTGACGAAGCGCTGTGGAAAAGAAGTGACGGCGATCATGAAGTCACTTGTTCATCTTTCCCTCCTCCCTCCGTCTCCTCCCCGTTTCTCGCCCTCTCTGGGTTCAGAAGTCCTCCTCCTCTCCTGACCCGGTCTTACGAGCAGCCGCACTCCTCCACGATCATGTTCTGGATGTCCTTCTTGATGATCTTTTGTTCCTCGTTGTAGTAGAGCATGGACATGGCTCGTAGCCGGGTGGGCACGCAGCACGACCTCAGGTTCTGGAAGGGGCTGTAGCCCCTCATGCGGTAGTGGCTGATGACGGTGGAGTGGAAGGACAACGTGGACCCGGTGATGCTCGCCACGTGGGAGGGGCACTCCCCCTCGCAGTAGTTGGCGTGATAACCGGGCGGCGCGATTATCCAGTCGTTCCAGCCAATGTCTTTGAAGTTGACGTAGAACTGCCGCTTGCAGCAGACGCGGACCTTCCCGTCACACTCCAGCCCGCGCTTCCTGCGCCGCCGAGAGTCGCCGCTATCCTCCGGCCGGACCACAGCCATGAGGAAGGGCCGGTGGGATTGTTCCCGCTGGTTGGCGCGCGTCGACGTCTCCGAGCCGCCGGACACCAGGACGAGCGTTGCCCCGGCATCGGCGCAGAGTGGGCAGGACACCCTGAGGCTCAGTGTTGTGCTCTCCGTGCTCTCCAGCAGCGCCTGCACCGCCGCCGACACCGGGAAGGTGTGCCACCCGCTGCGACGGGTGTCCACGGTCTTCTCCGCCAGGAGGATGTCGTCCTGCGGCGGGCGGCCGTTGGGGAGCTGCCGGTGCTGGAAGAGGCGGATGGTGACTTTGGCTCGGCTGCGATTGGTCTTGGCCAAGCGGAGGAAGAGCCAGACGTTAGCCTGCTCCACCAGAGAGAGGTCACCGCCCTCTTTAGACAGGACGAAGTTCACCATGCCCTGAGACTCACCTGAGGCAGAGAGAGGGAGACACAGGGTTAGGACAACGTCCAACTCATGATCACAACATCATAATGCAGAAAACCCTGGTCTGTGATTGGCTAAAACATAGTCCAGGTCAGCGCTCATGATATCTAACCAACAGTGCTGATGCTTCACCTGCCCACTGCTTCAACAAACTACACGTTGAACCCTTCTGTTCCTTCGTGCTAGAACAGAGATGCACAGAAGGACCGTGAACGCCTCGCAAAGACGTGCGCGAGTGTCAAAGTCTTTACTTACCTCAAGTGCATTCAGTCTGAGTGTGGCCACATCTGAGCGACAGAGCCGTCCACACACACACATACTTATCATTATGTTACCATCTCTAACGTGACCTCACACACACACACTCGCTGCTGATTGGACCCTTCCTGCTGACTCAGCAGCAGTGGTCGGAGGTTTTGGAGTCAGGCAGCGTTTAAACCAGCTAATGGTTCCCACCCGGAGCTGCAGCCCAGAACGCCTGAATATACAGCAACATTTGTAAAGTGTAATCTTTCTGTTTCTGTTACTCCGCCGTGAATTATGGGAAAGTTTTAAAAGCTGCGTGTCAGCAGGAGAGAAGCCGAGTGAGAGAGCGAGTTGTGTTTTGGAAGGCGTTTTTAGATTCAGACCGCAGTTCCCCAGAGCTGAGGCGACATTTCAGCCCAAACTACAGTCCAGAACTCAAACATGTTCAGGTTTAAAGGCTGTAAAAGAGAGAAGGCGTCAAATCTTTTATTTTTAAACTGCAAGGGAGAATCATTTTCTGTCAATTAACTAATCAATGAATCAAGCAATCGTTTGAGCCCTAATTAAGGGCCTGTGAAGACGAGTTCAGGGCAAAGAAACATGGACAGACTGTCATCCACAAGTCAGTTTATGATTCAATGTTTTAATAGTTAGCTGTTCAGACACGTGATGGGTTGGCACATAACTGACCAGGACGAATAAATCCTCTTAACGGCTGTTTTTCTGCAAACGCTGCATGCAAACAAACACACACACACACCCAGGCCTGTATTTTACATTTCCTAGAAACCTCCAGGCCAGGCAGCGAGCTAATCACTGGTTTGAAGACCCAATTACCATCCACCGCCGTTACATAACATCTCCGCATCACCTTTTTCCTCCCTCCCTCTCCCTCTCTGTGTAATGTCTCTCGCTCGTGGGTGTCCATACAGAAAATCAAAGTCACGATTTGGGAGTTTATGAATGTCAGCAGCAGCGACGCTCTGTTAAACGGTGTGAATGGGCGGCTCGTCTGTGTGTGCGCGCGTGTGTGCGGAGGCGGCCGGCACTTTAGCGGCTCCATTAACGCCGTTTAACCGACAATTCGGAGGCGATTATCTCACTTACATCATCATCACCTCAGTGAGGTTAAAAAATAAAAAGCCCTGTTCATTCATTGTTTCTTAGAATAGTGTTTGTGATTCTGGCTGCTGGGAGAAAAAGAAGAAGAGGCTTTGTTTTAACTCCAGCAGCGTAAAGGACCAATCTGTTAGTGTGACGCTAACAGTGATGCTAATATAGAGGCTGGTGTTATCCTAGATTTCTCTTTATGTTCAGACACAAGCAGTGAACGTATCACCGAACAACGGATGTCCTCTGAGCCGTAGAAACTATCAACCCATCAGACTGCTTCACAGGGTCTTGCTGGCCCAAACGCTCACTAGAGCGCCACATGTGGATCCATCCACCGCTGGAAAGAGTCCCAACACATGCTCTGTTTCCTGCTGTTTAATAAAAACTACAGTGGAACCAGTGGGGCAGGAGCTCAGAGCCACAGACAGGAAGTAACACCAGACTTTAAGATGAAATGTTATAACTCAACCCGACTCGTCACACATGGACGCAGGGTCAAGAACCATCGGCGTCAGTTTATAACGCACTGGGATCCCTATAGCGTCATAGTTCAGCGCAGTGGGGGAAGCCCTGTGGCGTCCGTTTTTGACAGTAAAGGCAGGTATATGATATTTAACCGAAAAGACTGAGCGAGGAGGTGGATGGAGGACCAGAACCCCGACTTTAAACGAGGAGACCGGAGTTTGTGTCAACAATAAATATGTTTATTTAAGTTACGTAAGTGACGTTAGTTAAGTTACGTGTTAGCTGATGTACGTAGTTTTTTGAAACCCAAACCAGGATCTTTTCCGAACCTTAACAAAGTAGTTTTGTTGCCTAAACCCAACCAAACTGCAACATTTCACATCTGTAATAACGTGACGTTAAACTGGCGATGTTTCAAAACACTAGCATTTTATCTTGAAAGTCTAAGCACTAGTTAGCAAACTTAACTGCGGAGCCTTAAACGTCTAAAAATTACGCTAAAAGGGTACCCTTGACGTTAAAAAGCGACGCCAAAGGGTCTTGACCAAGCGAGTGAGAACGTGTTGTTTAAATACATTCCTAAATTTCAAAACAAGACCACGCTGTCACAGACTTCAGCGCCTTGCTTGCAGAACAAGATGGCTTTTATTCACCTTAAACTGCAGCTGATTGTTGCTGTGAGTTATTAAATCCAGCTCAGAGTCCCACAGAGACCTGAAGAGAACTGAATCCTCAGAGTAAATCCTAATAGCATGTTAGCAGCACAGTGTAGCAGCTGTAACGGGGGGGTGGGGTGGTCAGATAGAAGTCAGCGCCGCGTGTTCATGCAGAGCCGGTAATTACGGCCGTAATGACAGACGTCTGTATCATCGTGTGATTTACAGGCACACGTTCGCTGCAGAGTCCTGTTACACATCCGTCTGCAGAAACACTGAACATCCTTAAACTCTGTGTTATAGTATCACGAGCGTGGCCAAATTCTTTCAGTGTAATTTCTCCCACAGGTTTTATTTCTGACTGAAACTGAAACATGTTGGTGGATAAACAGATAAAAAGTTTCTACTCCTGTACCGGACTGTAACCGTGGAGATAAAGGGATTATTTTGTTGGTATTCAACAGCTACAGCTCCCATGTCCACTTTTTCTTCCTCAGACAGCGAAGGCTCCCTGAACACTAAAATGTAAAGAGAAGTTAGTGGAGTTTGGTGGAAAGACTGAACATCTGTGAACATGTTTGTATTTTCTCACGAACAACTGCTGTTTGTTGAATGAAAACAATCTGCCACATGCATCACATGACCGTCCATCGCTGTGTGAAGCACATCCAGATGCAGATTCAAATTTTATTACACTATTAAATTAAAAGATTATAAGTTATATGCAGCCTTGGCGGTGGAATGCTTTCGGGGCGTCGTCATGTAGAAACAGGAAAGGGACAAACACAAACTGTTGACACAAAGTTGGACGAGCACTGTTGTCTAAAGGCCCAAACAGGAAAACAGTACAGCATTTAGTGTTCTGGGTCCCTGCAGGAGGATTTTCGTAGAGCTGAAGTGAGACCAATGGCTGCCTGCAAGGAAGGAAATCAATCTAAACACTGATGATGACGTGAACGTGTCTCTCTCTCTCTCTGTAATCCCACTCCATTTACAGAAGACTGGTCTTTACAAACTGATGTCTCAACAACTCATAAAACCTGATTTCTGGCCCTCGTCGGCTCGTCTGCTGTGGGCGCACACACAGTTTGTCATGCAGCGTCTGTGTTTGGACAGCACAGCGGCGAGGGAGGAGAGCGTGGCGAACACTGAAACACACTCAGTTTGTTCTGCAGAAAACTGCAGCTCAGTGTTTTCCTCTTAAATCAGTTCTCCAGTCTGACTGAAAAAGTTCTCAACAAGGTGGAGACAAAAACCTGGTCTGTGTCCTGGTGCAGGACTCACTGAAGGAGAACACCTCAGACTGAGAAATTCAAAGAAATGTTTATGAATCTGAAATCTGAACCTGTAACACTTTTAAAAATGCTCAGACCATAAAGAACCCAGTTCAGACCACCAAACATCCAGCTTAGAACATCTAGAAACACATTTAGACCATCAAAACCTAAGTCTTGGCCATAAAGAACCTATCAAACATCCAGTTTAGAACATCTACAAACACATTTAGACCACCAAACATCCAGCTTAGAACATCTAGAAACACATTTAGACCATCAAACATCCAGTTTAGAACATCTAGAAACACATTTAGACCATCTAGAAACACATTTAGACCATCAAAACCGAAGTCTTGGCCATAAAGAACCTATCAAACATCCAGTTTAGAACATCTAGAAACACATTTAGACCATCTAGAAACACATTTAGACCATCAAAACCGAAGTCTTGGCCATAAAGAACCTATCAAACATCCAGTTTAGAACATCTAGAAACACATTTAGACCACCAAACATCCAGCTTAGAACATCTAGAAACACATTTAGACCACCAAACATCCAGCTTAGAACATCTAGAAACACATTTAGACCACCAAACATCCAGCTTAGAACATCTAGAAACACATTTAGACCATCAAAACCGAAGTCTTGGCCATAAAGAACCTATCAAACATCCAGTTTAGAACATCTAGAAACACATTTAGACCACCAAACATCCAGCTTAGAACATCTAGAAACACATTTAGACCATCAAAACCGAAGTCTTGGCCATAAAGAACCTATCAAACATCCAGTTTAGAACATCTAGAAACACATTTAGACCATCAAAACCGAAGTCTTGGCCATAAAGAACCTATCAAACATCCAGTTTAGAACATCTACAAACATATTTAGGCCTTCAAAGTCTAGGCCCTAAAGAACCCAGTGTATACCATCAATAACCAAGTCTAGGGCTTCAAAAATCCAGCGTGGACCATCAATAACCAAGTTGAGATCATCAAAAACAAAGTCTAGGCCATAACAAACCCAGTTCAGACCATCAGACGTCCCATTTAGAACATCTAGAAGGTTAAACCACCAACACCCAGTTTGGACCACCGAATGCGGACTCTGGACTGCTGAACATCTTAAACCTGTTGCTGCAGTGACTCAGGTCTCGCTTCTCTCAGCGTGTCCGTCCTTACAGAGAAAAGTTCTTCATCAGTCGTTCTTGAATCTGTGACGCAC